TGGGGGCAGCTCTGTTAGCCAACCACGCAGCAAAAGATGTAAGTACTTAAGCAGTACTAGGTCTCTGTTTACTATACATCTATGTTTCTTTTGTTTTCTGTAAGTATGTATGTTTGACATCTGTTTCTTTTGTTTTCTGTAAGTATGTATGTGCTACATCTATGTTTCTTTTGTTTTCTGAAAGTATGTATGTTTGACATCTTTGTTTCTTTTGTTTTCTGTAAGTATGTATGTGCTACATCTATGTTTCTTTTGTTTTCTGTAAGTATGTATGTGTGCTATGTCTATGTTTCTCTGTTTTCTGTAAGTATGTGTGTGCTATTGTTATGTTTCTGTTTTCTGTAAGTTTGTATGTGCTACATCTATGTTTCTTTTGTTTTCTGTAAGTATGTATGTGTGACATCTATGTTTCTTTTGTTTTCTGTTTGTGCTACGTCTAAGTTTCTCTGTTTTCTGTAAGTACTTGTGCGCTACTTTTCGTTTCATCTAAGTACAGGAAAATTCAGATTCTATGAGGTTGGTTCTCAAAACTACCAAGACTGTCATATATTGTATTGCTTGCTCAACAAGTTGCAGTGTAAGGCAATGTTTGGTTTCGCAAACCAGAGCAAAAACCATAACATAGCTCTATCACTGTTCAGTAGCCAGGGAAAAAAGATATATATGACTGTGTCACTTCTGCTTCTGTGCTAACGTTTTACTCCTGAAACATTTACGACTCCCCCCTTTCGCCTCAATTATTTTGTCAATTATGTCTGTTTGACTGTTTGAATGTTGTATCCCACTCGGTCGGGGTTAGCCCCGACACTGAGGATCGAAGCTGTCCACCTTCCAAATGATCTATATTGTGTCGGTGAAAGGGATAAACATTCACAGTTGTAACAATCAATCAACAGTTAGACCTTTGACGTCATTTTTGGTTTTCCTATCCAGCCTTCTTCTGTCTTTCTTTATTGATTTTTAAATGAGACCTTATGGAATATAATGAATATTTAATGACGGGATGAAGATGTGATTTTTTATTTCCAGTTTTTGTACTGAGCTTGACCCAGGAAGGTTTTATGACATGATTAATGTACTCTATGGAGCATTAAAAGGTTCAGATGGTCGATCATTTGATCTATTTTGATCTTGATCTTCACATTTTTAGTTTCTTTTGTTTGTTCTGACTGAGGGGAAAGTGGCTGTTTGTTTTATTCCTCGGCTCAGTGATGGACTTAGTATGGGCATCTGTGGTGTAGTGGCTACATACTTCACCGTCTGGCTTCTATTGTGTAGTGGTTACATGCTTCACCGTCGCTTGCAGAAGAAACGAGTTCAGTTCCCGTCAAGAAGGATCTTTTATTGAGTATCTCCTTCGTCTTTCTACCGTGATGTGGTATCCCTCTCAGCTTGGGGTGACCCAGACAGGCAGGGTCAGAGTGACCCACATTCTAAGCCATTTAATTTGTGTAGATTGGTACGTAAAATGTCTACAGTTACAAATACAAATTTTGAACGAATTTAGTGATACCATTTCCGCTGTTGGTTTATTTATTTATTTACGTGATTATGATGATGCAATGCTGTTTTCCATGAAACTGTTTGCTGCGTAGATTATTCAAGTTTAAAAAAATATTTTTGTTTCTTTGCCCAGTATCGCATTCTCTTATACGTCAACAAGCAGCAGCAAGTGACCAATGCTAAGATCACCAACGCGTTCAAGTTCAATGTAAGTTTTCTCTCTGTACTTTGTGTATGTTTCAACTTTGATTAACATATACTTTTTGTTTAGAACTCAAAATGTGGGTGGTTGGCAGGTGCTCTGGTGTGGTTTGCTCCTTCTTTCCTATCAAACATCTATCGTCTTTATCTCCCCTTCTTCTTTTTTGTGTTTGTTACTCCCTTGTAACATCTCTAATCTCCGGCACTTATATGACCTTGTTGTGTAGCAAGTGCCGTAAAACTTACGAAAAAAAAGAACTCAAAATGCCTTGAACCATTGAACAAGATGTTGACTGTATGATGCAGGTTCATAGGGGAGGGATGTTCCTTCACTGGTGTCTGTGCTATAGTGGTTAGGCTCTTTGGCGTAGCATGCAAAAGAAGTGAGTTTGATTCCTGATTGAGGAAGTTATTTTATTTTGTGTCTGTTTGCTAGCATGCTGCATCCCAGTGAATGATTAGTGGGAGTTCTGGTGTTGTTTGCTCCTTCTTTCCAATAAAAAATCTATCACCCTTATCTATCCTCCTCCTTTTTATGTGTTTGTTATTCTCTTGTAACACCTCTAATCTTCGCCGTTTATATGACCAAATTGTGGTGCAAGTGAGGTAAAACTCTTGCCAAAGTAAAACAAGCTGCAACCCATCGTGGTTGACCTTGATATGCGACGTGCACAATCATTGCTGTTGCTATAAAACTTTTTCAGATTCAAGAAAATAACTATGCCAGTTTCTATGATGATGCCAGACAGACGTGGTCAGTCATGTTTGATTCGGCACAGAATGCGGAAAAGTTTGGTAAAGAAGTAAGTGTCTTTCCTTGTGACTTATGGTAACGAATTCTTCTTCTTCTTCTTCTTCTTCTTCTTCTTTTTCTTCTTCTTCTTCTTCTTCTTCTTCTTCTTCTTCTTCTTCTTCTTCTTCTTCTTCTTCTTCTTCTTCTTCTTCTTCTTCTTCTTCTTCTTCTTCTTCTTCTTCTTCTTCTTCTTCTTCTTTTTCTTCTTCTCGTCCTCGTCCTCGTCCTCCTCCTCCTCCTCCTCCTCCTCCCCCCTCCTCCTCCTCCTCCTCCTCCTCCTCCTTCTTCCCCCTCCTCCTCCTCCTCCTCCTACTCCTCCTCCTCCTCCTCCTCCTTAAAAGGAAACAATGCCTTGGATAGGAAAGGAGTACATATCTGATTCCAGGTGCTATCCATAGAGTCAGAGTTTGGAAGGTGCCTGTGGTTGGTCCTACTTCTTTTCATTCACTCTCTGTCTGTCTTGCTTTTCCCTACACTGAGGGATATTACTGCAGGGACGTGCTTCTCTTTACTGGAAAGCAAACCATAGAGCTTTTTCTGTTAAACTGAAAGAAGTGTGTGTCTTGTTTGAGAAGTAAGATTGAATTGAAGAGTTGAAGACTGGCACAAACAATGTTATGTTTTATTGTTAGCGTCACGAGAAAAACTGATAATTTCAATATTTTTTACTCCCCCTGGTCAAATAAAGTTACTCATTTCCTTGTGGCAACGACAATTTTTTCTTTAAATGGAATGTCTTGGTTTCATTAGATTCTGATAGCAAAGGCCAACTCCTCACCATTGCCTGTATTTTATTACCTCTGTGTCTACAGTTTTGTCAATGTGCCATAGCAAAGGCCAACCCTACACCCATGCCTGTGTTTATGGTTTTGCCAGATGAGGATAGTGAAGGCCTAAATGGTTTCGTCATATTGCAGTAACAAGGGTCTATGTCTGTGTCTTATGGCCCTTTTGTTTATGGTTTTGTCAAATAGCGACAGTGAGACCAACTCCGTGTTTGTGACTTGTGACCCTTTTGTTTATGGTTTTGTCAGATTGCGATAGCGATAGCGAAGGCCAACTCTAGGTCAATGCCTGTGTTTATGGTTTTGTCAAATGAGGATAGTGAAAGCCAAATGGTTTGTCATACTGCGATAACGAAGGTCAACTCGGTGTCTTTGTCTTGTGATCCCTTTGTTTATGGTTTTGTCAGATTGCGAAGGCCAACTCTACGTCCATGCTTGTTTTTATGGTTTTGTCAGATGAGAGCAGTGAAGACCAAATGGTTTCGTCATATTGCGACGGCGAGACCAACTCTATGTCTGTGTCTTGTGACCCCTCTGTTTGTGGTTTTGTCAGATTGCGATTGCGAAAGCCAACTCGGCTGCAGGCAGTCCGGAGCTTGTGACCCAGGACCTGGCTCTGGGAGAAGGAGGACAACTGGAGGTCGGGGACTCGGTGGAGGTCAAGTACACAGGATGGCTCCTGACCAAAGGGACCTTTGGAAAAGTACGAATGTCAAGTTTTGTTTCATCTCTTGTTTGCTTTTTTCCTATACATTACTCTTTACTTTACTTTACTTTTCCAGTCCAGCGACCATGTGGGTTCTAGCCCTTCGGCCTGGTACATTACTCCTTATCATAGTTTTACCATATTGTTAGCATCTTTCCACAATTGCCCAAGTCTATTTTTGGATGTATTCAGACCAAGCCGTTATTCAAATAAAAACATCCTGGGACATCTTGCAATAGTTTTGTTCTCCGTTTCTTTTTTTTTTTCTTCCAAGTTTTTAACGGAAGAATATCAAGTGCTTAAGTCATGGTCCTGATTTGAGTACTCTCTTTTTCTTTAGGTTTCTCCAAACTTCAAAAAATGAATTAGGGCTTGTGGAATGATGCTGATGTTGTGTTTTGTATGAACATATTTACCTGTGGCACAGTCTCTAAGTTTAACCTAATGAAACCTTATTGAGGGTTTTATGAGGAGACACTACTGAGACAGCAGTACTTTTTTATGAATAGCTGAAATACAGTTTTGATTTCAATTTGTAAGCAGAGACTTCAGTGATTGTTATTGTCTGTGAATGTAATTGTTGATTGGTTGATGTGTTTTTCACTCTTGTTTTTCTGAAGTTGATTTTGGAGCCCCCCCCCCCCTCTCCCCAACGTAATCTCTTTTTTTTGTTGTTGCTTTCCATTTTCCCTCTGTTGTTTGTGTCTGTCTGTCTGTATTTTTTTTCTCTGCATGTGTTGATGTGCTTTTCTTTTCTTTATTCTTTAACTGCCACTGTTTGTGCATACACAAAATGCTTTAGAAACTGTTTTAATTTGGTGAGGAAGGTGCCCCTGTATTTCCTTTTCTTTTGCCGGCGCTTGTGGTGTAATGGCTAAGCTCTTTGCAGTTGCACCCAGAAGATGAGAGTTCAATTCCTGAATGGAGAAGTTTTATTTTTTAAATCTAGTATCTCTGTCTGTACAGGTGTTATATTGAACTCGGCCCGGGTTGACCCTGACAAAGAAAGTCAAAGCAGCACACCTCCTAAATGACTTAAATAGTATTGATGAGTGTTTAAAATATTTATGGTTACAATTATTACATTTTGTGTGTGTGTTTTGTCCAGGTTTTCGACAGCAATGCCTCATCAGATCAGTCTTTTCGCCTGAAACTTGGCAAGGGAAAGGTGATCAAGGTAAGAGATTTTTGCTGCTTCAGGATTTCTTGGAACTTGAGATTGTCATTTGACTGAGAGGAATTTAATTCTTTTACGTTGTTTGACTTTTTTTGTCACTTTTTTTCTTTGCATGAGTCATATCCTTTAGTTACAAAAATCTGTGCATTACATTTCTCTGAACGTACCAACAAATTTGAGTGTAATACAGGTAACAGTTTTTTAGGTAGAGAAATAAAGACGAAGGGTCCATAATGAAAACATTAAAAAAACAAAATTACTGCTCGACATTCAAATGAAAATGACTTTTGTATATAAAATTGGACATACAGTAGTCTTCGCCTAAGATCCCGATGCTTGGGAGCAAGGAAATGCGGGATCTTAGGCGAACCGGGATCTTAACCGACGAACCCAGGGAAGAATCTATGGTGACCCATGCTAAGGCTCACAATCGGTAAAGTGGTCTCCCTCCACTCTAAAATGAACTGAACGCTTGGTGGGTTTATGGCATATGGCGAGCAAAGAGTGGTTTACCTTGATGACCTATCACGGTCCATAGTGGCATGAGGCATGCCATTTTCACTTATTACCCTATCATGAGTCTCAAGATCTACGCTTATCCAGTTGCCCCTCCCCCTTGCCTGTAGAAAATTTATAGCATTCCATCTCTGGACGAGTCTTCCCCCCCCCTCCCCCCCAAAACCCCCCCCAAAAAACCGCCTTTGTCGTTACACACCATTATGTTGTGAACACACCAATTAAAATTCAGTCTGTCTCGCAAATTCGGGAGAAGAGACAACTTCTGCAATGGTCAGGGAAGAGTTCACAGTTCAATGTGATCCCACCTGGAGCGAACATGTAGGCCCTACCCACCCAGCGAGTGATGTAAGTTTAGGGGGAGAGCTCAGGTCTGAGTGCGATGTTCGGGGAAAACAAACTTGTCGGTCACTTCACACCTCGGTGTGATCCCGTCTGGGCCAAACATTGTATCACTTCATTGAGTTTTACAACCCGTATGTGATCACCTTCACGATAATGGCTGATCTTTGACGCGACGGACTGTTTATTGATCTCAACTTTTCACTCTTGGTTGATCGGCTGTCCCGCCCGGGTTTTTGTTCTGCAAATTATGATCTGAAATGCGGGATCTTAGCCGAATGTAGACCTTCAGAGTGATTCAGAGTGGGATCTTAGGGGTGACTTTTGTATAGTAAAAATTTTGTTTTCTTAAAACAGCGGGATCTTAAGCAAACCGGGATCGTAAGCGGTGGGATCTTAGGCGGAGACAACTGTATTTTTAAAAAGTAGCAAAGGCCCAGACTTTGTAATTCAAAGGACAGGACAGCTTTAGAAACATCTTAGCTATCACTTTTATTGTGTACGATGTTAGAATGTCTTCACCATCACTTTTATTGTGTACGATGTTAGAATGTCTTCACCATCACTTTTATTGGGTACAACATTAGGATGTCTTAGCTATCACTTTTATTTTGTACAACAGGAACGTCTTCCCCATCACGTTTATTGTACACAATGTTAGGAACATTTTCATCATTAATTTTATTGTTCGACTCAAATTCTACATCTGAACTTACTGTTGTAGTCATTTTAAAAACATTGCTGGTTGTGATTCGTGCTCTGTACCGAGCTGTCTTTGTGAAACAGCGGATGTAGGACAGGAGTTAGAATTTCTTCGCTTACAAAGTTATGTTTTACCCTTTCTTGCAAGCAGTGTTTACTACCTTCATTGGATTCGCAGCTGAGAACGGATGATTCAGTTTTTCAAATCATCACAGTCTAATTTGGAATCCTGTACCAATAAAGTCGAGTTTGGACACTGACAGTGGTGAAGTAAAGCTATACTATTGAGGCTAGGGTTCGAAGAGGTACAGATTAAAGCATGCAACATTATTTAGGTCATGCGACCGCTTCTTACAGAAAGAATCAACTATGCTGACACAAACAGCAGCCACTTGTAGATGCACTGTGTTTGGACAGCCGTATAAAGGGACTTCTGAGTGGGTAGTTGGTGGGTGCTCTGGTGTTGTTTGCTCCTTCTTTCCTGTCAAACATATATCATCCTGATCTCTCCTACTTCTTTTAATGTGTTTGATACTCTCTTGTAACTCTTCTAATCTTCGGCACATGTGTGACCTTATTGTGTTGCAAGTGCCGTAAAACTCTTACCAAAACTAAAAAGGGACATATTTCCTTTTCCTCTGTTGTTTGCATCTTGTGTTGTTTCTTCCTTGCTCTAAATGACTGTTATTGTGTCTGTGTGCTTCCCTTTATTCAAGCTAAGGCTGTGCTTGGTTGGTGGTTGCTTTGGTCCTTCTTCCTATCAAACATCTATCGTCCTGATCTCTTCTCCTTCTTTTTATTGTTTCTTACTCCTAGTAACTCCTTGAATCTTTGATCTATTTGTGTTGCAAGTGTCGTAAAACTCTTACTAAAACTTAAAAAAAGCTTCTTTTTTATTGTTTGTTACTCTCTAGTAATACTTCTACTCTTCGGCACATAAATGACCTAATTGTGTTGGGAGTGCTGTAAAATCATACTAAAACCCAAACTAAGACTAAACCTTGTAAGGCTGTCTAATGAGTTGACTGTGTTCTGTGTCTGTATTCAGGGCTGGGACCAGGGCATGCTTGGAATGAAGAAGGGAGGAAAACGTATGCTGGTCATCCCCCCTGGCCTGGCTTACGGCTCGCAAGGTGTTGCTGATCGAATCCCACCGGAGTCAACGCTCATATTTGAGGTCTCCGTAACACGGGTATGGAGAAACATCCTTTTTTT